AAAAATGCAAGTAGAAAAATAAGGACCACCTTTGGTGGGAAGGTAGCAGCGTTCCATGCGCCTTCGATGTTTAGTCATGCCGGCCATGACTATGGAGACGTCTTCGGACAGCGCTGGCTCTTTGGCTTTGAAACGGAGATGAGCACTGCCCCCTAGAGCCGGGAACGACTAGCACATATGTGCGAGGGGAACTTTAATCTTTAACTAGTACAGTAAAAGCTCATTGCTCAGTGATAGCACATCTGGTCTTTGCCTGCATAAGATTCCAGATTCACCTAAGCATGGACCACATAAATACTTCTGCCTAGTACTGTGATTCCCTGTAACAAATGAGCCCATTTGGGATGACTTCCTGCTTTGTTTTTTGGATAAATCAGCCCTATATTCAAAACAGTGAAGATTGGGAGCCTTGAGGAGCTGGGGGTAAAGCATTGGTGACATATTCAAGGGTATTCAGATAGTCCTCGATATACAACCGGTTGTGACTGAAGTTACAACAGCACTCAAAAAAGTGACTTACTGTTCTGACCTAGGCTACTCCAGCAGCACGAAGCCAAAGCCGAGTCCCAGTAAACCTCTTTTATTTAATTTAGAGTGAATTCCTCTCCAGCAAAATCCCGGCCCACAGTCTTTCAAAATAGTTCTCAATTACCAACCTTTATTGGGCTTGGAGAGTGGCCAGGCTGATATCTTTCAGACGCAGCAATACTTGGCAAGAATGCAGGAATGGACTAATTGTCTTCTGCAAACTCCCCTCCCCTTTCATTCCTCTTTTATTCCCTATGGAAGGGGCCATTCACCGTCCACCTGTGGCTTTACTCCCAAGTCAACCCTTGTTCCTTAACTGTTCCCTTCTCCTGGCAGCTCTGTGCATGTGCACACTGGGAACAGGCTCCAGCTGTTCTTCTGCCTCACTGATGTCTCACTCCGAAGGCAGCTGATAACTGCCAGATGGCCCAGGCCCCCCCTCTCTGCCTCCAAGACAGAGCCCTCGTCAGAGCCTTCCCCAGACTCCAGGACTGGCCCATGTTCCTCCCCAACCTCCTCACTGTCGCCAGATTTGCTTAACGACCCCGTGATTCCCTTAACTGCAGTGGTTCACTTAACAACCGTGACAAAAAATGGTGATTAAAATTGGCCGTGACTCAGCAACACCTTGCTTAGCAACTGGTCTCAATTCTGGCTGTAACTCGAGGACTAAAGTAATAAGATTATGAATAACCACTTTGGTTTTCTGCAATATTGCCTCTGGGGCTTTTTCTCTCCATCCACCTTGCCTCCACCCTATGCAGTGGTGCTACAAGCGGGAATGCGTACCTTTTGGCATGCGGCCGGAAGGGGTGGATGGCGCATGGGGCACCTGGTCACCCTGGGGAGAGTGCAGCCGGACCTGCGGGGGAGGTGTTTCCTCATCTACTCGCTATTGTGACAGTCCAAGGTAAGCGGTTCACTGTCAACATTCGGTGCAGCCTCTGGGCATAGCCCTGTGGGCCCACAATGATGCATTCTTCCCCCCCCCCTTTCTTTTTTCCAAAAGGCCAACCATTGGAGGAAGGTATTGCCTAGGGGAACGAAAGCGCTACCGGTCGTGTAACATTGATGTGAGTAACACTAACCACAAACACACTTTGCAGCATCCTAGAAATTTAGAGCCGGAAAAAAACTGTTTAGGCCATCAAGTCTAACCCTCTTTTTTTTCAGTTCAGGAATTCATATTAAGTCATCCCCAGACAATGATGTGTAGTGTCTGTCAGATATATCTGGAGGAAGGAGGAGGGGCCACCTCTTTCCTGGGAAATTAAGCTTCTCGTTTGAGCTTCTCTTTTTTTTCTCTCTCTCTAATACTCAAGTGAATAAGCCTTCCTGTATTTTAAAACCATTATTCCATGCTCTGCACATTATTTCATTTGATAGAGAATAGTCTGGGCCTATTTCCTGACATTGTTTCAGGTACCTGAGGAGTTATAGAAAATAAAAAGGAAGGAAGGAAGGAAGGAAGGAAGGAAGGAAGGAAGGAAGGGAGAAAAGAAAGAAAGGGAATGAATGAAGGAAAGAGGGAGGGAGGGAAGGAAGAAAGGAAGAAAAGAAAGGAAAGAAAGAGGGAAGGAAGGGGGAAGAAAGGAAGAAAAGAGAGAAAAGGAACAAAAGAAAGAAAGAAAAGAAAGAAAGAAAGAAAGAAAGAAAGAAAGAAAGAAAGAAAAAGGGAAGGAAGATAGGAAGGAAGGAAGGAAAGATCAACACATACATCCTCCTTGGTCTTTTCTTCTTCAGGCTAGTGTTTCTCAACCTTGGCAACATGAAGATTTATGGACTACATTTCCCAGAATCCCCCAGCCTGCATGCTACTGGGGAAATCTGGGAGATGTAGTCCACACATCTTCACATTGCCTAGGTTAAGAAACATTGCTCTGGAACAGGGGTATCAAATTCAGGTTGTCACGGCAGAGTCACGTGACGTATCAGGACTCCTCCCCCCCTTTGCTAAACCGGGTGTGGTCGTGGCCAACACGTGACGGATCCGGTGTGCAGGTTGCGAGTTTGACACCCCTGCTCTAGACTAAACATCCTACTTTCCTAGCAGAACATATTTCCATGCATCCTTTTTGCTCTTCTCTGAAACAGGCCTGGTTTTTTTCTGAACTCTTCTTAAAAATGGATGCTTAGAATCAGACATGATACCTAACCTGGCATCGGAACCACTACCGTGTTTCCTCCAAAATAAGACAGGGTCTTATTTT